CAAACATTAACACACATGATCAACTTTGGTTGGACACATATGTGAACATCAACAAGCACTATCACATGTGTCAACTTTTATTTGACACATATTTAAATATCAACACACACTATAACATATTATCAACTTCGATTGGAAACACAGATTCAAACATCCACAAGCAAACAATATCTTTTCCGGATTCGCACTCGGCGCCCCAAGGAAAAATACGGGCACACAAGCATAGGTGGACTTTCGGAAAAAAAAAAAGGATGGCCCTGGTAAGCTTGAAGCCCATCTAAACCAGCGGAACCCATGGATCTTTAACCAAGCTAAGCTAAAAAGGGCACCAGGGACCGCCCCCTTCCCACCGCCCGACGCACAACCGCCCCCCCCCCCCCGCAACCGGCCTGCGCGGCGAGAGCTGCGTCCAGCTTGGAGGTGGCGCCTTTCGCCGTGGACTCCTTCTCTTGCCTCGTTCGAGGGGATTGCTTTTCGGACCCCTCGAAAAAACATATGTCATATTTCATTTGATTGCTATGTTGTTTATTTTTTTTATTTTTTTAAACGCTAAAAATGAAAATAATAAAAAAGAAAAAACAAACGAGCCAAGGAGAAACCTGATTGCACATGTTCATACCGCATTTCAAGAGGCAGTGGCCCTGCCAAAGGGCATTGCAGTAGCTAACCAATCAACTGACTACCTGAGTAACTGACTAAGTCACCAACCAGCCAACCAGCCAGCCAGCCAGCCAGCCAAAGAAACACACGTTGTGGACGCCAAGTAGCTGAACTTTCTGCTTCAGATCTTGCAGGCTCCGCTCTGCCGCCTTCTTGGCCTCTTCCGCCTTCCTGCGGATGGAATTCGGGCGGTAACTTGGTGCGGTCATGTGAGAGAACCTGCGAAACTGAGTGACTTCCATGGCTGCGGGTCAAACCTATGTACCCAATATGGCTTGCCCTGGCAAATGGAAACACGGACTAAAATCTGGGGTCCCCTGAGGATTCTATTTTGACCCATACCCAAATGACCAGGAGTAACTTTTCCGGTTTAGTGGGGAACGGCATCTTTTCTGCTGGCTTCCCTGATGGTCATCCCATGTAAAGGACATATTGATCAACCCCCACGTGATCTATGGGGATTTAGGCAACAAGGTCTGGGTGAAATGCACGAACAGAAGTGCTGCGCAAAAACACAAATCCACCACAGAAAACGCATTCGCTTGGGTGATGGCGTTCCTCAAGTGCTGATTAAAAAAAAAACACGATGGCATCGTGCAATGTAACGATATAATATTGTTTCTAGAGGACAAGCAGCATCATCTCTCATCAGCGTATGAAAGCCATGGAGCTTGAACAGCTAACTACGTGCCCATGAGAAGAGGCGCTTGTTGTGGCTTATGTACGCCGCCAAATCATGGTTCGCCACCACGATGACGTCAAGAACTTGACAGCAAACGCCTAGGTTGGTCGATGCCCCTGAATTCCAGCGATTAAGAGGGTATGTTTGCGGAAGGAGACAAAGCTAGAGGAGATTTGCTTCGCACGCCACGCGATAAACTCTGCTGTCATAGCGGCAGTGTGCAGAATGCGGACAGGCCAAACTGAGATCGTTGAGATGGAGCAACTGACGACCTCAAAATGTCTATATCAGTGGCGAGATAGTTGATGCAAAGCCTGGGACAAGTTCCGGGAAATGATGTCAGATCATGGATGCTCGTTCGCACGCTTCAGGCAAAGCAATGATGTGACATCAGACCTGAGGACTCCTCTCGGCTAGAAGCCACGAACCCGCGACAAGATCTACGATCAGAGACCTTCATTTTGCTGGTTCGGTAGGAGGGAATGAGTTGAAATGACCCCCATAAACCATGGCAGCCGAGATTGGACTTCACAACACTGCAAGGTGTGACAAACCTTCCCAGCTCCAACAAATGCGCTTGCACGGCCAGCCCTCCGGTCTTTGCAGCGTCCACCGCAGATTTCTGCTCTTGCTGAGCCTGGCAAGGCTGCGCGCGATGAACCGAGTCACCTCTCACCTGGACCTTAATGGCGTGCTGCTAAATATCAAAACATGACCCCCAGTTGCTTTCTCGCCCCGCGGCAAAAATGGGGAAACCTGTGCAATCGTGATAGACGCCCTTTAAAACCAACAAGGGAAAATCAAAATACTCATTTCAGCAAATGGAAGATGAGGCGGGTCTCACAGGTTGGCACTGTGCATGCCAACACGAACACAAAAAGCTACGCCTCCCTCCCCCCGACGGCCTTCTCTAGAGCTGTCCTGGGCTGCACAAGGTAAACACAAGCGGGAGATTTGTCTGCAACATCTAACAGTGCCAAGTGTCCATGTGCCTCCTAAATGGATGGCACATCTTTCGCCCAACACGCACAGCATGCTCTACAGGCGCAGTATGTTCTCCAATGCCCAATTCAACCCAAGGCATTGCAAGGCGAGTCAAGCTAAGCGTTATCCAAGCATCTTTGCAGCTTTTACTTCCTCCTCGGACTTCTTCTTCAC